CCTGGCTCGTCGTAAAGGCTCGGAAGATATTTGAACAAATGAGACCCTTCAGCACCGCCATCAGGCGGGTCCTCTCGGCAGCAGAATAGCTGTCACGCAGCTCACAGGCTGCACAGACTGGCTTTACAGGCGCCTTCACAGACAGACTTACTGTGTCTCCTGTATGATTGTTAAAAATCTAAGACATCTGTGTTTTAGTCCCTAAGATGTCCGTGGGCCTGTGCATGCAAAGGGCAGAGGAGAGCTGTCAGAATTAGCTCGCTGAGTATCCAGAGGGGACCATTGATGATTTTCCATTAAAAATGTTTCTTGTTATGTTCAGCTGGCGTGGCTCAGTTGAGTGTCAGCCTATGAACCAAGAAGTCATGGTTCAATTCCCGGTCAGGGCACATGCCCAGGTTGCGGGCTCAATCCCCAGTGGGGGGCGTGCGGGAGGCAGCTGATCGATGATTCTCCTTCATCATTGATGTTTCTATTTCTCCCTCTCCCTTCTTCTCTGAAATCAATAAAAATATATATATATTTTTTAAATGTTTCTTCTTAGAAAAACACAGATATTTGGTACCGTTCAGGAGCAAGCAATCTCATTTCATAGCACCAGGCAGTAATGGAGATACTCTGTTTGTGATGACCCTGGGTCGTCAAAAGGGTTAGCTGTGTCAGGAACACTGTACTTAATTGTAAAAGGGAGATACAGAAAACGCATTCAGCGGAGCTCATTACCCTATTGTTCAGGAAGGAGGTTGGAGTAGAGACCTTGCAGCGCACTAAACAATAGAAATCTTTAGCTTGATAAAGGGTGTTCACCACCTACTCATAACAGACATCATACGAACGTAAAACATCCGAGTGAACACCGACACAGAATAAAATAAGGGTGCTCTCTGTCACTGTGCTCTGGAAGGTGGTTCTGGAGATTCTGGTTAATGCAATCACACAAGAAAAGAAACGAGGTATAAATATTGGAAGACGTCCAAAGCACCATTCATTATCACAGGTATCGTAGCCAGATAATGCTAGGAAATCAGCTGAGATCAGTAGGGTGGTCAGATACCTGTAGAACGAAAAGGCTTATAGCAACAACAGTTCTCACCCCAGGCCTCCTTATGCCAGAGGTCTCCCTCCCCAGGGGCAGCCGCCTGAGACACCTCTGGCTGTACTCCCATTCGTAGTAATGAATAATATGTGTGCTGCCGCCATCCGATTCAATTTCACGTGTTGGCTAGTAACTTCCTGTGACTGGCTGTCTTCGCTTGGGCCTCCATGGCAAGATATTGTGGATTGGGTGGCTTAAATAGTAGGCATTTATTCCTCATAGTTCCGGAGGCTGGAGTCCAAGATCAAGGTGCCTTCAGGGTTGGTTTCTGGTGAGGCCTTTTCCTTGAGCTGCAGATAGCTGCCTTCTTGCTGTGTGCTCACATGACTTTTCCTTGGTGCATGCTGTGTGTTTGTGGGAATAGAGGGAGGGAGGGAGGGAGGGAGGGAGGGAGGGAGGGAGGGAGGGAGGGAGGGAGGGAGGGAGGGAGGGAAACTCCAATCTCTCTTCTTGAAACTTATTAATCAGATGTTACACCTCCTGACCCTGTACTCTTAACTTCTTACCTTACCTATCCTGGTTTTTTGTTGTTGTTGTTTTTCATCTTTTTGCTGTCTTTTCTAGAAGGTTTTCTCAATCTTATCATGTAACACATCTATTGAGTTTTTAATATCTGCCATCCTATTTTTCATTTCAAAAGCGGATTTTGTTTTTGGAAGGACTAGTTGTGCCCTCCTGGAACCTCCTTTTGGTGTTCCACTATCGTAATGTCTTTTCTCCCTGCGGACACTAATTTTTTAAATGTTTTTTTGCCTCCCTCTTCAGTTACTTTCTTCTGGTTTGTGTCTTGGTCTTAGCTTTCCGCCCTGTTCTACAGGCTTTGCCCTCAAAACAGATCTGGTGACCTTGGTTGTCCGACTTTGTTTTAAGACAGCCGTGGGCAAACTACGGCCTGCGGGCCGGATCCGGCCAGTTTGAAATGAATAAAACTAAAAAAAAAAAAAAAAAAAAAAGACCGTACCCTTTTATGTAATGATGTTTACTTTGAATTTATATTAGTTCACACAAACACTCCATCCATGCTTTTGTTCCGGCCCTCCAGTCCAGTTTAAGAACCCATTGTGGCCCTCGAGTCAAAAAGTTTGCCCTGTTTTGAAAGGATAAAGCTGTTCTTCCCGTTGAGGAGATGGCATGTGAATCCACTTTCTAAATCTTTCTAGAGACCGTGGGGCCATTCCACTTTATCCTAATCTAATCTGTTAAAGTCCTGTCTGCTTCTGAAACTTGTCTTGAATTCACTCCCTTCCCAATATTCACTGCCATGGCGTTGGTCTTGGATACAGTTGTCCTTGGATACCTGCAGGGAATTGGTTCCAGGACCCCTGACGATACCAGAATCCAAGGATGCTCAAGTCCCTTATAGAAAGTTGGGCAGTATCTGCATACAACCGACACACATCCTCCTGTATGCTTTAAATCATCTCTAGATGACTTCTAATGTCTAATACAATCTAAATGGTATGTAAATAATTATTATACTGTCTTATTTAGGGAATAATGACAAGGGGAAAAGTCTGTAAGTCTTCAGTACAGATGCAACCATCATAGGTCTAACTACATAGCAGATGTCAGCAGCCACGTAACCTTTGGTTGAATCCACAGCGGTGGAACCGCGGACACAGATGGCCGACTGTGTATCATCTTCTGCCCCTTGGATTATCGTGACCGTCTCTGAACTTATCCCCTCACACCTACCCTTTCTCCTCCATGTGTCCATTTCATAAGAGTGGCCTTATGAAAACATAGCCTGATCTTACCATCATTGTCTTGCTCAAAACCTTCCCTCCGCCTTTGATAAAATACAGAATCCTTAGGTGTCCACGTGGTCTGACCCTCCCCAACCTTCCTAGCGTTTTGCACTGATGTCCTTCCTGACTGCACTTTCTTACATGCCCTAGAAGACAGAAGCCCTTCCCCCTCCAGACCTTTGCCTGTGCTGTGCCGTCTGCCTAGGACAGTGGTTCTCAACCTTCTGGCCCTTTAAATACAGTTCTTCATGTTGTGACCCAGCCATAAAATTATTTTCGTTGCTACTTCATCACTGGAATGTTGCTACTGTGATGAATCGTAATGTAAATATCTGATATGCGGGATGGTCTTAGGCGACCCCTGTGAAAAGGTCGTTCGACGCCAAAGGGGTTGCGACCCACAGGTTGAGAACCGCTGGCCTAGGATGTTGCCTTCCTGCTACAGTCCCTTACTAGCCTCCTTTTCCCCTGATAGCATTTCTTTCATATCTGTACCCAAATACTTCTCCCCACCGACTGTACCTAGTGTTTGTGCCCCGTTCTGTCCCTGGGGCCTGAGAGTGGGAAGCCAGGCACATGTTAGGGGCTCTCAGTTGCTATACAAATGAGTGAAAGCTCCGCCCCTCGCGTTGTGATGAAAAGCACTCCAGTATCCTGTTCCCTGTAAAACAGAAATGCAGTCGTTTGTCCTGAGTCGCTCAGCAAGCTGGCTCTCGCAGCCAGAGCCCGCCCTGGGCCCCTGAGGCTGTCTCCTGGGGATATGGTTTAGAATGATACTAACATTTCCCTTTCTTTTTCTTATTATTTTGCTGTTTTTGTTCTGTCTTTTATTTTGGTGGTTGCTAACTTTTTCGTGGCTTAGGAATAAAGTCCTCCTGGTCCTTGGGAGGTGCTGGGCTGTGAGAGGTGTCCCTCGCTCTGGCCTTACTGAGTTCAGGACTAAGCATGCCTGGGATTTGGGTCAGGTTCTTTGCCTCAGTGAGGTCCCCCTGTAGGCAGCGGTGACGTGGATTTGGTCTTGCTCCTCAGCAGTGGTGAAGCGTTGACGACTGTCGCTGGATACACCTGCGGCTTATGTTAAAACGCTGAGTGCCGTGCCGGCCTCGCTTAGCTTCCCTCCCGAAGGCTCTCAGGCCGCCTGTGAGGAGGGCGGCCGTAGCAGGTGCCGAATCCTCATGATTCATCCCCTGAGAGACGATTGGTCCAGGAACCTGCAGTCTTGTTCCCTGGATGGGTATCAGCCTGTGAGCAAATGTTAGCCACAGATGAGTGTTGTTTTGCCCCTCATGATGTTTTTGTTAAAATATATTTTTATTGATTTCACAGAGGAAGGGAAAGGGAGAGAGAGATAGAAACATCAGTGATGAGAGAGAATCATTGATTGGCTGCCTCCTGCACGCCCCCTACAAGGGATCAAGCCCACAATCCAGGCATGTGCCCTTGACTGAAATCGAACCCGTGACTCTCCAGTCTCCAGGCCAATCCTCTATTCACTGAGCCAAACCGGCTAGGGCCCCTCATGATGTTTTAAAACTCTTGTTAGTGCCAACATTTAAAAATCAAGATGATCCCCCCTACCAGCGTGGCTCAGTGGTTGAGTGTCGACCTATGAACCAGGAGGTCACAATTCGATTCTCAGGGCACATGCCCAGGTTGCGGGCTCCCTCCCCAGTGTGGGGCATGCAGGAGGCAGCCAGTCAATGATTCTCTCTCCTCATTGATGTTTCTATCTCTCTTTCCCTCTCCCTTTCTCTCTGAAATCAATCAAAATATATTTTGAAAAATAAAAATCAAGGTGCACATGTAGAAACTTGAGTTTCTGTTTTTTTTCCCTGGGGGTAGGGTGGGGATTAGGGGTAGGGAGCAAAACCAGCTCACAACAATTGGCTGAGAAGAAATTGCCCCTAAAATAAGACATAGTTTTTCTTGGGTTCATGGTCTCTGCCCAGCCTACTATGTTCATTTGTTTTACCTTCCTGGTCTTTGTAGGCATGTAAGTTTGTAATCCCTATTATATTTGTAAAAGTCACATATATGTGTGTATGGGGGTGAAAGGTGTAACTGACACTCTGTAATGGTTTTTTTTTCTCTGTCTTCTTCTTTTTCTTTACTTTCTCCTTCCTCCTCCCTCTCCCACTGCCTCCATCATTTCACAGATTCTGGGACTACTGGTATGGACTCTTATCGCCGGAACGGAGTACTTCCGGGTCCCTGCCTTTGGCTGGGTCATGTTTGTAGCTGTATTTTACTGGGTCCTCACCGTCTTCTTCCTCATCGTCTACATAACGATGACCTACACCAGGATCCCCCAGGTGCCCTGGACAACCGTGGTAAGGAAGCCGGGCGTGCTTCGGGTCCATTGCCCACTAGGTAGGATGGAACGTAGTCCTCCTCTGGTAGATTTTGCATTTTTAAGAACTTGCAGTGGCTTGAGGAACTGACTCAAATGCCCCTCCCTGCCTAGAGCGAGGGGCCTGCTTTGGGACAGTGCTCTCCCAGGGCAGGTGCTGCAGGGTGGGGCTCCTGCTGGGGCCACGGGCTGAGGCCCTTCTCGCTGGTGGCATCTTCCTAGCCCATACATCGCCATGGCTGAATTGAATGGAATGGGGGTCAAGAGCAAGTTGAAGGAGACTGGGTGTGTTGGGGGAAAAAGGAGGGGTGTCTGGTTGTGCTGTGAATGAGATGGTATCAAACCCTCCCCTCCCCAAAACACGGGGGAGCTACCTTCTTGGAGCCCTCATCCCCATGTGTCCAGAGGAGCACCTAACCGCAGCCAGGGTGCAGTTCCGCCCAGTTCTGAGGTTCGGAGGTCCCCAGACCTCCCCACGCTCCCTAAACGCTCCAGCGTCTGTCTCCCCAGGGTCTGTGCTTTAATGGCAGTGCCTTCATCCTGTACCTCTCGGCCGCTATTGTGGATGCATCGTCCGTCGCCCCGGAGAGGGACAGCCACAACTTCAATAGCTGGGCGGCCTCCTCGGTGAGTGAGTCCCTCATCCCTCTGGGAATCAGGAGGACAGAGCTGTGGGCCGGAAAAAGCCCCGCCTGCAGTAGGACACACTGGCAATTAGCTGATTGGTTTGCAAGCGTCATAAATTGGTGAGGCTGTGCTTGCCGTGAAAGCCAAATGGCTGGAACCAAGTAAGTAGTTGAGGGAGAAAAAAGTACTTGAGGCATTCTAAGAATCATTCCACTGACTGCAGTTTACTAGTAAGTGGGGAGAGAGCTGCAGGAAATGAGCACGCTGTGATGCTCTGTGTTTGGTTTTAAGTAGAAATGTCTGTGGGTGCATTGAGGACGCTTAGAAAAATAAATATACACCAACAAAGAGGTTCCTTTCAGGAACTGTGATTGGGTGATGAGTGTGGCATGAGGGGCTTCTGCTTTTTAATTAGTGCGCTTCTGTACAGTGTGCAGCTTTAAACCATTAAGTGTGTAATATTTTCCTAATTTAAAAACTTCATTTTGAAAGTTTGTCTAATATTGATCTTAAAATATCCCATCCGCAAAAGAAGTGTTGGTAGGGGGAGCAGGGGAAGGCCAGAGTGGTCATGTTAAAGCTGATTGATGATACCCGGGTGTTCATTATATTCTTTGCTTATATTTAAAAATTGCCATGTAAAGGTAGAAAGCGCGGGGGCACATGCGATTAAACACCAAGCTGTGGCGGCCCTGGGCTCACAGCATGAGTCCACTGAACTGGGTGGAGGTTGCTCCTTGAGAGGGGCCTGCATTTTCCGACTCACCATTCACACCACACACCTCACGGGGGTGGGGGCGGGGGGGGCTCATCACTCCCTCCTGCTGCCTGACTCATTTACGGTAGCTGAACCTGTGGCAGTCTGGGGGTAAGCCCTGGTCTAAAATTGCCTATACAGTAGTCCCCATTGTACGTGGTTTTGCTTTCTGCTGTGTGTTATACCCTCCATCAACCATGGTCCAAAAAAAACCCTGAAATAGAAAATTCCAGAAATAAACAATTCATATGTTTTAAATTGCACACCATTCTGAGTATCACGCTGAAATATTACACCGTCCCACTCTCTCCTGCCCAGGATGTGTATCATCCCTTTCTCCCCTCATATGAGCTCCCTGCCCCTTAGCAGCCTTCTTGGTTATCAGGTTATGAGAGAGAGAGAGAGGGAGAGAGAGATCACATTTGCGTAACTTTTATTACAGAATGCTGTTGTAATTGTTCCTTTTTATGATCAGTTATTATTAACCTCTTACTGGGCCTAATTTATAAATTAAACTTTATTCTAGGTATATATGTGTAGGGAAAAACATAGTCTATATAGGGTTTGATGCCACCCACGGCTTCCGGCATCCCCTGGGGGTCTTGGAATGTACCCCCTGCAGAGAAGGGGGAACTACTGCACTAAATTGGAAATACGGGCGCTTTCCTCAGATCCACACCACCATATTCGCCCCTATGTGAATCATACTATAACTAAACATCTGCTTTTTCATTAGGGCGCTTCTGTACAGTGTGCAGGTTTAAACCATTAAGTGTGTATTGTTTTTCTAATTTAAAAGCTTCATGTTGAAAGTTTGTCTAGTATTGACCGTAAAATATCCCATCCGCAAAAGAAGTGTTGGTGGAGGGAGAAGGGGAAGGCCAGAGTGATCATGGTAGAGCTGGTTGGAGCAAAACTATAAACTTTCCAGATATGCTCCCAAAAATAAAAGATATCCAGAAATCATTTCAGAAGGAAGGTCATTGAACCAAGAAAGCCTGGAGTCAAGAAATGCTGTGGGTACATGATTCAACGGAGGTGACATGATAGCGTTTGCTCACTACAGTGTGCCCTAAACCCCGTTTCTATTCTGCTTTGTTTTCTCCAGTTCTTCGCCTTCCTGGTCACCGTCTGCTACGCTGGAAACACATATTTCAGTTTTATAGCTTGGAGATCCAGGACCGTCCAGTGATTAGCCATTTTGAGAATTATGGGGGGAGGCGGGGGGTAAGGAAGCCTCTCACTGTAAAAACAGCTGTAGGTATACTGTATATTTCCAGAGAATTGTATTTAACTAATGTTTTTATATACTTAGTTAAATTTTGCTCACGGTGGTTTGTTACAATGAAACTGGACCCCTATCTGCAAAGAGCGATAGGTTGTAATGACCTCTTCAGGGTCTTGTCAGATGTCTTCGTAGACATTATTATTATTATTTTCTTAGGTGATGTATACATGGATAACATGCTAATATGAAGAATGTGTCAAGTTTGTAAACCTTGAACTTTTAAAATGCCAGATTTTTTCGATTAAATGTTTCAAAACCTTGGATAATGTTGTATTGATTTGAGGAAGGAGACCCAGGTGGGGTGCTCTCCTTCATCCTCTCAGGGCTTCATCCTATCCAGGTGCGATATTGCTACGAGACACTTGTCCATGGCCACTAGGCTGGGGTGGCAGCAGAGAGCCATCTCCCCAATTCTGGAGATCATCGGTGTCCGTGATTCTCACGTCCTCATCACAGGCCCAGAGAGCATCTCAGGAGACACTGGACTTGGCGCTTGGTCAGGAGCCCGCCCTAAGGCATGCTGCTGAGTCCAGTGAGCCATGTATGAGTGGTACTCTTTCTCCTGATACCTATTAAAATCAGTGCATACCATTAAAAGGATAAATACTCACGTGTATCTTCAGCTCCTCTTGCTGACCACAGTGACATACAGACCATATTTTGTGGGAAATAACCAGACTGGAAATTCTCATCTCCAATCTCCAGCACTCCTGCTTTATTTTTTGCTTTTTTTTAATATACATATATTTTTTTTATTGATTTCAGAGAGGAAGAGAGAGGGAGAGAGAGAGAAACATCAATGATGAGAGAGAATCATTGATCGGCTGCCTCCTGCACACCCCACAGTGGGATTAAGCCCGCAACTTGGGCATGTGCCCTTGACCGGAATCGAACCTGGGACTCTTCAGTCCACAGGTTGTGACACTCTATCCACTGAGCCAAACTGGCTATTTGTCACGTGGATATTCGGTATTGTCCGCCGGCAAGGCAGATGTGCGCTTAGAGGAAGTGCTTTTCGGCGGCACGGTTCCTGCTGCTGCAGTGTATCTCGGGTGATTTTTCAACATGAGCTTCTTGTGAAAAACAAAAAACCACAGAAACGTTAGTCGAGTTGATGACAGTGGAGAGAGTTTCAGCCACGTTCTCGCTCTGCGCACAAGACGCTGTGACCTCTGCTCTTCTGCTCTCGGTTAACCGAGCTGTTGCTTTCTGTTTGTGTTATTTTTATATGGTTTCTTTTTAATTGATTTCAGAGAGGAAGGGAGAGGGAGATGGAAACATCAATGATGAGAGAGAATCATTCATCGACTGCCTCCTGCACACCCCACACGGAGGATCAAGCCCACAACCCAGGCATGTGCCCTGACCGGGAATCGAACCGGTGACCTCCTGGTTCCTGGGTCGATACTCAACCACTGAGCTATACCAGCCGGGCTGCTGTCAGTTGTTTGTTGTTTGTGTTGGTTTTCCTACTTACCTGATTCTAATTCCGTATCCAGGTTCCATTTACCCCCATAGAGGAGAGATGGGATTTCTTCCGTGTCTAATAACACCCATCCCGGGCTTTTGGAGGAAACAGTGAAAAGTGTTCTTGAGTTGTGGGTCCAAAGAGGTAGTGGGCAGGGGGCACCACACATGAGAGGTGGGAGTGGGAGGTGGTGGGGGCACAGGAGGCCACTTGGAGTGCAACATCGAGCAAGCCGTGAGGGTTGAGCTTTAGCGACGCAGACCCACAGGTGACCGGGGCTGCAATCTTTTTGGATCTGTATCCCCAGTCATCACCGGGACAGCTTCTGGTTCATTCATTCTGCAAGAAAAGCAGAAATAACTCATCAGAGTGTGTGTGCTCTACTCTGTTCATCGCTCACACTCACCGAGGCATATTCATCTTCCCTGTGCTTTTGAAGTACTTAATTTAAAAAAATTTTTATTGGGGTGACATTACTCAACTTGAACATATAGGGTTCATGTGTGGATTACTAATTTACAAACTCTGTATATAGGACCATTGCAATCAAATCTCCATAAAAGGCAGAAAAACTGTAACCTACAAAGATCTGTTTCTGGAAACAGTCATAAAGAAAGAAGCCTGCTTTTCTCTCTCTCTCTCTCTCTCTCTCTCTCTCTCTCTCTCTCTCTCTCTCCCCCCCCCCCCTTCTTCTCCCTACGTGTGTGTGATTTCTGTGATCATGCCTGCAACTTCTGGGGTAAAAAGTTCCATAAACCACTTTGAAATATCTTCCAAATGGACTACAACAGTAGGTCTTTCTTGAACCGGTAGCACCAGACACACCTGTTTCAGGAGAACAATGACTCGCCTGTGTCCAGGCAGGGTCACTTGCTGTCTTGTCCTTATTTGCGGTTTTTAAGGAGCATGGCCCTTTGTGTTGTCCTGAAAGTTCACCAAACCACAACACAAAACAAAACAAAACAAAAAAAACACAGCATTTATTTTTAACTGAAAGGAAATTATTTCCTCCTTTGAATACTGACTTTGTTCAAAGAATAATTTTTAAGTGTGGGTTTTTGGACAACAAACTGAGTCTCTATAGTTCAGACCAAGCTGTCAGTTTCTAACTGGGTTTGCATTAATTTTTCTCTTAAGAAAGAAGAAGAAAAAAAAGCCAAGCCACATGCAGCACAGCCAACATAACGACAGAAATAGGTTTCTGGGGTTTTTTAAAAAAAATGTGGTAACAGGGGTAGTAAGTATACTGGGCGCTTAAACTCTTCCCCGCCATCTGTGACGCCTGTCTGCGTGCACCAATCAGCCCTTCCAAACCAATCTGATGGAGTTGGGTGGGTTTTTAATTTGACGTACTTACCTACTCATGGCCGATCAATGAAATGCTTTAGGCAGTAAATCCCTCTCCGTTGTTATTTCCAACTCATAGCCCCCAAAGATAAATATTTAGCCAATATTTGAAAACTACAAGAGAAGCCAGAGACAAAAAATGTTCAACATCAGTTATTTTTGCCTATTTTTTAATTGCTTCCTTCCTAGGGAAATCCCTTCAGGGTATCAGCACACTAAAGATTTTTAAATACAGCCCTGGCCGGTTTGGCTCAGTGGATAGAGCGTCGGCCTGCGAACTGAAGGGTCCCAGGTTTGGTTCCGGTCAAGGGCACATGCCCGGGTTGTGGGCTCAATCCCCAGTGGGGGACTTGCAGGAGGCAGCCGATCCATGATTCTCTCTCATCATGGATGTTTCTATCCTTCCTCTCTGAAATCAATAAAAATATATATTTAAAAAAAATAAATAAATACATAAAGTGTCTGTGAAGAACACAGACAATTAAAAACACCAACTAAAGATGCAGCCCTGGGTAGGAAAAAAATCATTCAGAGTTTATATTTCTGTCCCCTAGACAATTATTATTTTAGTTGAAAGATGATTTTTCACAGAAAAAAAAAAAAAATAACCCAGGCATGTAATTGGGGGAAAGTGCTTGGCAACACAGAGGTGATGACTTTTCAGACACTTAGGCAATAGTGAGTGGCAAGAAGGTTGTTTACCGGGGAGACATTTCATTTAGAAGGTATGTTTTGAGTAAACATCCATGTCACAAGCAGATTTTTAAAATAGAACACTCAGAATAACAACACCCAGAGCAGGCTTTCTCACTGTCTCCCCCACATCTCTTCTCCCTCCTCTTGTTATCTAACTACCCTCTTTTTATTCGGGATCCACACCACCCACTTAAGCCCCAGCTACTTAGGGGAGCCAACGCCGCTGTGACTCCAGGAATGGAGCATGCGGCTCTGCCTAAGTAATCCCATGCCCTGGCCATACTGATTGGTTCAGGGATGGGATGTGACCCAAGACTTGCTCTGGAGTTCTGGATAAAGGAGTTCTGTAGGACCTACTGTTATATAGGCAGGAAGTTGTTGGCAAAAACTATATTGTGACCACAAGGGGGAGCCAGTCATAGGATGAAGGTGACTGAAAGGAAAAGAGATGAAACTTCATCATGATTACATATGTCACTGAGCCACTGAATTAATTGAGCCCTGAATGCAGGCACACTCTGGACTTTGCAATTACATGAGCAATTAATCATATGCACTTTGGTAAAATGAATTTCTGTTACTTGCAACAGTATGTATCCTAACCAATACCCAGGGCATTCTGGCAAATGGCTTTCAAGCAAAGGCCTAAGATCTTGGTTCTGGTTTTCTTTCCAATAGTAAGCCACCATAGGGCCTTAGGCAGATGGCAGTGATGGCAGGACAAATCAACTGTAGCAACAGGCTCATTGTCAGTAGAGGGGTAGGAAAGGGAAAGTTTGAGAGACCACTTGAGAGGGTGACTCAAGCCCTCCTGAGGCTGTTGTTTAAGGGTGGTGCTAGCCTGGGAAGACCCTAACAGGGGTGGGCAAACTTTTTGACTCGAGGGCCACAATGGGTTCTTAAACTGGACTCAGAAGAAGGAGCTGCGGCCGTGTTTCCCGACGTTGCCATGTTAACACTGCTGCTGGTGAAGGAGCAGAGGGGAGAGCAAGAGAACCCTCCGCTCTTTCGGCTCCGCGGGCCGGATAGAACAGCCGAACGGGCCGGATCCGGCCCACGGGCCGTAGTTTGCCCACGGCTGCAAAGAGAAGCAGCCGGAAGGATGAGTTCTCAAAGGAATTTTTCTTGACCTGAGTGTGAAGAAGGAACGGGAAACAATCTGGCCTCCAACTATTCGAACTTAAGAACACCTTGTGTCTCAAAAACCAGTTGTCACTCTTGAAAAGTGGCTTCCCTCTCTGGAAGTGAGTTGGCCAAAGACATTGGCCCTATCAGAGTGAGGATCAAACCTAAACTACAAACAGAATAAAAGGGCTTAGAAATAAATCAAAGGCAGTGCGTTTTGTTTTGTTTTTTTCCAAATTAAAACTATAATGAGATGCTATGTCACACCCTCTAGAATGTCTAACATGGAAAAGACTGCAATACCCAAAGAGTTGGCCGGGTGTGGGCCATCTGGCATTCCCCTACACTGCTGGTGGGATTGTGCTTGCTGTCTGATCTAGAGGTCTGATCGGTGGAGCCTTTGTACATGGCCCTTGTACTGCCAAGCATCTTGCTCAAGCGTTTAAGTGATCATGATGAAGTGATTAACACCAAGTGGCCATCGCCAGTGATTATTTCCCATCAAGGCTGGTGGCACCTTGGCCAACAGCAGTCAGAGAAACCCAGCAAAGTCAACTCCAGGGGGCTCAGGAAATGACAGTGGTTCTCAGACTCCAGCATGCGTCTGAATCACAGGGGAGGTGAG